CATTGCAAATAAGATTTTGGAATTCAATAACATATGTGGTGATTAAATATGATCCTTGTTGTAGAAATATGAGCTTAGTCTTTGCAACTTTTTTTCCATCATTTTTTTCAAATATAGCTATAAAAACTTTTAAAAATAAATTTAAGTTATAGAGTAGTCATGAATCTTTTTCTATGAAAGGTACAAATTAAGAGAGATTAATTTTAAAAAGAATTATCCCTATAAATCCAACTTAAGTAAATCCTTCAAGATATTGAGAAGGATACAACCTTAGATAGAACTTTATTTGTTGTAGAAATCCTTGAAAATTTGATCTTATTCCATCAAAATTTTAAAGCATACTTATCCTTACCTCCTTTATGCTTATAGTAGTAAGACTTTTTGGATTTAATTATAAATTTGATCTACTTGCTTTTCTCAATTATGTAATTTTTTAGCATAGACTTTGAACTTAATTGTTGAATTCTTCTATAGGGATAGAAATAGTACTTCCATGATTCACATTGAAAATATATGAAATTTTTACTTTTAGAATGTTGAAAAGTTCATGAAGATTTGTAATAGTTGTAAATTTATTCTTATTTTTTTTTGATGGTAGCATCCATAATCTTTTCTTTCATAGACGATTCAAACAAATTCAAAAAATTAAATGAGAGAAAGATAATCCACAATCTCTAATATCAAATAAAAATTTCTACAAAAAGGTATAATCTACTTTCTTTAAGGAAAAAATAAATATTAAAAATTTAATCTATTTGTTTAAAATTAATTAATCCATAACCTTCAAAATGTAATAATAGAAGTGAGATAATTCACTCACTTTTTAAAAAAGTAAGAACAATAAGTTAACACTCTTGTCAAGCTGTTAAGGATATGAGTCTCAAAGAACTTAAAGACTAATACATGCTTGTATCACTTGAAAAGACTAAAAAATCACTCAAAGATGGTATAATATTAAACTAGAATGGCTATTGCCAAAGACAAGAAGACTAAAAAGTCTTAAAACAATACTAATGACTAGAAAGGTATTGACAAGAATAAAGAAGGCTTCACTCTAGCCTCCATATATACTATCTAACTAAGAGCTATATACCAATGTTCTATAAGATCTCCAATATGTGTAGACTTTGCAAAATACATATCTTAACTTGCAAGACAAGCTTTATATATGTACACCACATAGTAAGATTATTCTATAAGCTATCAATATATGTGATATGTGATTAACTTATTGACCAAGTTTTTAACATATCAAATAACTACAAATACATATAAAATCAAAAACACATCTATTAAGCTTCTAAGAAGCTTTTTTAAAAGTTATTATGAAATTAATCTACTTTTACCTGCTTCTATTTAATCATATAGGTAATTATTGGAATAAATATGCATGTCCATGACAACGCTTCAAACTTCTTTTTTTCTTATTTTTTTTTTCTTGTATATGGTAGCTCCACATTTTTAATAAGCTATGCTTAGAGCAGTTTTTTCTTATGGTTTTTTTGGATTTGATTTACTTATTTTTAATGGAATTGGTATGTGAAGTCTTCTATTTGTAATTTTGGTAGTTCGTTATTCCAATTCGAGTGGAGGTACAACAACTTCTGCTTTTGGTCAATGTTTTTTCTACAAATTTGTATAGAATATGAATTTTGTCATTGGATTCTTTAATTCCTTTTGTGTGTGGATATTTGAACTAGAGACAGTTATATGATGTAATCAAGCTTGCATCGATAATGAGTTTTATTCTTATTTTTTTGTGATCGATGATTACTAAGCCTCATTCTTAGAGAGGTGGTGGAAGTTATTAGTACTTATGTAAAATTTCCTCTAGCAAAGAAAGGTCTAGTTCACAAAATGACTCTTCATCAATGTTTGTGTGATAGAGTACAATGAGCTTTTGCAATGTATAATTTGAACTATCAATGGTGACAATTTTTTTTTTTTTTTTTTTTCTCTCTCTCTCTCTCTCTCTCTCTCTTTAATTGCAATACAGCAGTAAAGAAGTATTGTACCTATGTCACATTGTACAGATCTTGTGATAGTGTTTATAGCCATTTGTGGGTGTTGTCATAATATATGAAGTCTTGCTTGAGAATGCTCCAGGCACTTAGCTGTGGAAGGTAGAATGGAAATTGCAACAACAAAATCCTAACTTTAATAGAACACTAACAATTCTAAATAAGATTTAATCAAATTTAAAAAAACTTCAAAGGAATTACAAAGAAACAATAAGAAATCTTAAAGAAATATTAGAATAATTACAAATATATCTCAAATACATCTCAATTCAATCTTAATTTAATCCTAGTTGAAATCCTATTGGACTTCATTCAAACTTTAGGCCAAAAACTAATTAAATCTTAAATCTTAAACAAAATCAAATAAAATCCTAAATCCTAAATCAAATCCTGACCAAATCCTAAACTCTAAATCAACTCCTAACCAAATCCTAATCCTAAATCAAATCCTAATCAAATCCTAAATCTTAAGCCAAATCCTAACCAAACCTTAAATCCTAAACCAAATCCTAAATCTTAAATCAAATCCTAACCAAATCCTAATCCTAAAACAAATCCTAATCAAATCTTAAATCTTAAATCAAATCCTAACTAAATCTTAAATCCTAAACCAAATTCTAAACCTTAAATCAAATCCTAATCTTAAATCAAATCCTAACCAAATCCTAACCCTAAATCAAACCCTAACTAGACCCTAACCCTAAATCAAATCCTAACCAAACTCTAAATCCTAAATTAAATCCTAACCAAACTCTAAATCCTAAATTAAATCCTAGTAATTTCTACAATAGATTTAAACCTCAATAAATAATGAGTTAACCATTGATCTTAATTCAAAATTTACACACTTCTTAAAAACTAAGTTGAAAATAAGCATAAAAAATTTGAAAAAGATCGAAATTACGAAATAGACGATAACCTCAAAATAAGCTTGGATGTTGGCCAACCTCCTTCTCTGACTTTGATGCCAATCTTCCAAAGCCAATATCTCTCTTTTTAACCGTTCGATTGATTTCAAAATTATTATATGTGTAGGAAAACAAGTCTAATATCATCACACACAAATTTTACTCCAATTCAACTAGTAAATTTCAAGAAATCTTAAAAATCCTCACTAGACCTAAAATTCTACTTTCTGAGACCTTGACCCATTTAAACCTCAATAATCCTCAATTCAACTATTAGATCAAGCTAAGATTCACAACATATATTAAGCACAAATATGACCATTAACCCACAAATTTTTACATGTAGATCTAATACAAAACTCTTGAAATTGTCCAAAACGTCAATCGTATTTTATTTCATAAAATCCAAATCATCTGAAAACAAACTTGATTTTGTAAAGCTCTTATAAAGTCATTACAAATCCAAATTGCTCAAAACCAATGCTAATAGAAACCCTATCTAGTTTGTTATCAAACTCTACTCTTCGATCTGCAAAAGAATTGTGGAGTCGTAGTTGAGACTCAGTTTCGTGCCTTAGGGTCTGATTTCGATCCTGGTTCATAATCGGCCCTCTCCAGGTATCAATATCTAGTTTTTTAAAGTAAATTTTGCTATAATTTAATCTTAACTTCCTTCTAAAGATGTCTATATCATTTATTTTTCCAATCTACTTTGTTTTGCCTTATTTATGGTCTTACAAAGTAAGTAGAGGTGACCTTTCTAAAAAGGCAGCATTGATACCTTTTAGTTTTACTACCCTTTTGACTATTAACTATATTTCTTAAGATAATTTGCTCTAATGCTTTGAACTAAGATCTCCTACATTATAATAATTTCCACACTCTTTCACCTATTAGTCATGTTACATCACGACAGTGCACCTTGATACTTATGTGTATGAAAAGAGTCACTTCTTTTGAAGCAAAGATTTGGTTTAAAATGTTTAGGAAATGAGTTGGAGCTGCATTTGGTCATGACAATCCCAACATCCAAGTTGAATTCACCTACACTTGAGTTTGCAATTTTTTTGTGATCATCCAAAGAAGATGCATCATCTTACTAGATTCCATAGTAGACATCATCAAAAACTACAACCTACATATATAATACTAAACCAAACTTATCATGACTTATCTTGTAATTGTTTCCATTTCAATGCTCCTGAAGTCTTTAATTTTAGCATTGAAGTAGGAATCCAAGTCATGATCTTGATACGACAAGGCCAAGAGTATTTTTCTTTGGTTGCATTCTTCATATTGAAGATTGCTTATATTGACTGAATGTGCTCGTTGCTACTTGCAATTTGACAAAATCAGGAGTAAATACAAGATATGGTTGGAAATTGAATTGTGGGAGCAAGATAGTTTAAGGAGGAGGTCATTATTTTTGAAGATAGTGTAAGTGAAGAATAGAGTGTGGCTAAAGAGGACCAACATTAGAAGAACAATATCTCGAACGCTTCCAATATGCCAAGTTTCTACATAAACTCTCAAGGTGACATCCTCGAAGTAAAACTAATTTTTAGGGAACAAATCAGCAGTTAGATAAACCTATGTTAGATTGAAATGAATTTAGGATTTTGCATAAATAGATATTAGATGAAGTTTCTAATCAAATATGAATTTTTTAATCATAGATAAAGTTTAAGAAGGGATGAGAAGTTATTTATGGATGATAAATGATGCTTAGATGATTATTATATGCTGAATGATACAGGTTTCCACTTGTGAGTGTGTACACACATACACATACATCCATACACATGCAGCCAAGAAAACTAATGGCCACAAAATCAAAGGTCAGGATTCAAGGTATTCGGACCTCCCGAGATGCTAAAGACCAGTCCACACGGATACCCATACAACCAAACGAGCGGTGAAACTGAAGTTCCTTATCTCGTTCTCGGGTTCCCATGAGCTCCCCACACGGGAACGTAGCATCTTAGGCATTCAGCAGGCCCATGGGACGCTGCGAGAAAGTTTGTAAGTTAGGATTAGTAAGTCACTAAAACGGAGCATATTCGTTTTTAGTGAGTCCAGATGCACTGGTTCATCAGGCACCACACACTAAACTCCGACGGGGAGGGTCCTGGACTAGGACATCGAAATCTGCTTGCGTCTCTGTCTCTCGCTCGCTCTCTCGTGCTCTCAGTTCTCGTCGTGCGGTGTCCGCAAGGTTGCATCGCAGCAGGTGGGTTCAGCCTCATTCCTTGATTTGCATTGTCTTTACTTTCAGGTTGATAATTTGCGTAAGATGTGAAATATCAAGAGTTTTGTCTTGAGTTTTTTTTGGTGGATTGTGGGTTAGTTGGGTCGATCGGGAAGATGTATGCGCAATTTGCAGGGTTTTTCAAGTAGTGATGTTGTGTGTGATGTATGAATGATGTGTTGGAATACTGTGGAGTTCTGGGAGTTGTATGAGGTTTTGGGTAGAGGTTTATGTGTTTGCAGCTCGAGGTTGTGTTTGGAGAGCTGTCTCGAAGTCGATGATTGGGGATAGTATTTACGGTGGCTAAGATGCTGGTTTGAAAGGATGTGTGATGGAAACTTGAGAGGCGTTGTTTTTGGAGTTTTAGGTGACAATGGCGGCAGCAAGAGCTATGGCAGCAGGGTGCGTGTCCCATTTGCCACAGTGCGTGAACTCATCAGTGGTGAAGGGTTCACAGAGGACGGCATTGTTGCCTGCTGCTTCCCTCTCCTTGAGGGCAGCCCCACTGCACCAATCTTTCGTGCAGAGGTCTGCTGTGAAGAGCAGGAGATTCCAGGTCTGTAAGGTCGTCTCTGCAGAGTATACCGTCAAGGAGGAAGGAGCAGCTGAGTCTCTAGAGTACAGGGTCTTCTTCTCTGACAAGTCTGGCAAGACGGTGAGTGCCATGCTTTCAATACTGATATCTATGGCCTTTCTGGATTTAAATTAGTGTTTGATCGGTAGCTGTCGATTGCACTACTTAATCTTGGAGCGTCGCCTAAAGTCAAAGAAGATACATTCTTTATCGTATTACTCCTGAAGTTATCATTAATTATCACATTCTAGCACTATTGACCTGTTCAAATTCAGTTGTAATCAGTAGGCGGAGTAGGACTACATTCGATAGAGCTACAGATTCAAACTATAGATGGTGAAAATTTTGCACCACTGCATTCACTAATGTAGAATGGGTCGATTGGGTGCTCTCGTGAAGCTTTGATTTGGTAAACCAAATTGGAACATCAAACTGCAGTGCTCTGTAGCTCACGCAAAAGTCTTTCAGATTTGTCTAGCCTCACCACTTGGGTGCAAGCTTAAATTGGTGCAGTTGTCGAACGAATCCATATGCTCATGCCCACGGTCGTGCCTAGTCTGAGGTCACATCATATGTATCAATCCTTGGCTACGTATCTACACTCTAAAGCCCAGTATTATGTCTAGGGTACACCTCACGACACTTTTTGGTACTAACATGTCATATGCACATGATATCAAAGGGTCTTTAAGAACTTAGATTAGTAACCATAAGTAAGTAGTAATGACATGATTCTCACATATTGAAGTGATCGCTGACAAACCGTATTGAGCAGATCTCACCATGGCATGATATCCCCCTCCACGCCGGAGACGGACTCTACAACTTCGTTGTTGAGATCCCTAAGGAGACTAGTGCTAAGATGGAGGTTGCGACTGAGGAGCCCAGCACTCCCATCAAGCAGGACACGAAGAAGGGGAAGCTCCGGTTCTACCCGTAAGTTCCTAACTGTGTATTCGTGGATTTAACATACTTCCTATCACAATGTGTTGCCGTAAAGAATTATTAGACACCTCTTCTCTTAGACTATCCCCCCTCGTTTTCTAAAATAAATTTTCTTCTTGGACGTGGTCCAAACCTTACGTTGAGCCTATGTTGGATGCTGGGGCAGTTATAACATCAACTGGAATTACGGACTTCTTCCCCAGACATGGGAGGACCCTTCGCACTCTAACTCTGACGTGGAGAACGCGTTCGGTGACAACGACCCAGGTGGGTTCATGGTCGCGAGTGAATATCTCATTGCTATGTTTTGAATCCTGATGTGTAACCTCCAAAAGGGTTCCAGAATGGAGCCATGTGAGGATTCCAGTCTCTCCCTTCTGAGACCTGGTGCATTCCTGATTTTTTGACTGGGACGTTACTGTCGCAGTTGACGTTGTTGAAATTGGGGAGAGGCAAGCCAAAATTGGAGAAGTCCTTAAGGTGAAACCCATCGCGGTTTTAGCCATGATTGACGAGGGTGAACTTGACTGGAAAGTTGTGGCTATCTCCATCGACGATCCCAAGGCTGATCTGGTCAACAACGTGGCTGATTGCGAGAAGCACTTCCCAGTGAGTCTTCTGATTTTAAGCCATACTGCTTTTAAGTGTCTTCCTCCTTATGGAAACGGGCGTTAGTACGTATTTATTCAATGAATTTCTTCTTTGCATTTTGTAGACTCATTATTCTGTGTACATAGGTCTCTTGTAGAGACTTCTATCAAGTCGTGCTTTACATAGATGTATGTCAAGTTGTACGTGCGATGTCGGTCTTTTCACGAGCCTTGGTTTTGAATTGTTTGGGAACTTTGTTTAACCTAAATGACATGACCAAAACTTTGTAGGTCAACTAGAATGACATGACCTTTTTTTGTTCGAAGTATCGGAAATGTGTTGCAAAGAGTTCGGAACACTTATGTAGTGCAAGTCTTTGATCAATCGGTGATAGCTTGCTTACATTCTTACGTGCGGGGTTGCAGGGCACTTTGACCGCAATTAGAGACTGGTTCAGAGATTACAAGATCCCCGATGGAAAGCCCGCCAATAGGTTTGGTCTTGATAACAAGCCTGCTGATAAGGTAAAAGATCACAATATTCAGGGCACAAATGTGGAATGTTTCAATGAACGTTGTTGAATGTATTGGCTTCAATACCTACTTCTGTTCTTCTTTCTCCTGATGTTGCATTTTAGATATTTACCCCTGTCGTCTTCATGTGGCAGGATTATGCACTGAAGGTCATTGAAGAGACCAACAATGCATGGGCAAACCTCGTGAAGAGGAGCGTTCCAGCTGGAGAACTTTCCCTCGTTTAGTTCCTCTTCGAACTCCTCTGTGGGTGGTGTTGTTCAATCTGGCAACCAGATTACATCACAACACGATTAGCTCTTACGGAAACTTCAGTTTTGCTAGAGTTTAGTGTTCCAACATTTGTACCTTGTATCTCTTGGTTTCCGAGAATTTGATAACTCCTAGAATCAATTGATTGCAGCGTAAGCAGCAGCTTTGTAACTTTGTGGGTCGTCATTGCATTGACCGTTCTCCTGCGAGGACAAGAGCTGTTAGAAGTATCTTGTTGTGGTAACATGTGCCTCCCTGCAACCTAGATTCCACAGTTTGCATGAGTCATTGATATAATGTAGCAGATTATTCCAGTGGCTTTTTGCTCGTTCGCTACAGCGTTATCTTGAGACAGAATGATCAATCCTCTTCTTAGAACGTTAGTACTGGCTGAACTTGGCAATTGCTTTATTATTAAACACGTGAAGGCTTATTGCCAAGTTTATCAATAAACAAAGCATTGTATCCTTGTCCTTCTATGCATGGTTGAGTTCTTCACATACTTCTTCTGATACCTAATTTGTTTTGTTAAGCTAGATATGATGGGAAAAAATTGACCCTGCTTGAATAGAAGTTGTTAATTCTCATACACTGAACTTTTGCAACATGTCTGCAGTGCAATACGCACTATCACTAAAGTTCAATCTGCTGCAATCTCCACTGAATTTCTATTCGGTATGGAGCACATCTTCCCGCTTCAGGATGCTACATTTGGTCTCGGACAAATCTCGACATCAGCTGATGAACATGTTATTTGCTTTTGAGCAGACGAAAGTATCTGTAGAGACGTAATGTAGTGATATCTTCATGGTGGTCTGTCTGTGGACCTGTGTTCTTCAAGCTGTAGCGGGAATTACGAGGTGTGTTACTGAAACGTTGCTGCTTATGCAAAGGGTCGCTTGACTAGTGGATTTCAATAAGAACTCTGTGGCCATGCTGACTATCCATGTATGTCACGAATCATGTTTCAGTAGGGGGGCTGCGCTTCACTCATATTGCGCATTGCCGATCATAATCCAGTATTTACAAGACGTAATTGGATCTAGGCAAGGCAAAAATCCCCATGTCAGTAATCCCTGAAACTTCCTGCGTACTGAACGTGTCTGACTTTGATTTCACGTCGATTAAAATCTAGGTAGAATGCTAATCTAACTCATTGTACGTGCCCAGTTCTGCCTCACCTTTCCTCCGTTGGGATCAGTGCAACCCAGATCCCAATTTTAGATCCACAGCACCTGGTAGCATAGATTGAATTGGACGAAATTAGATTCTTGTGGATGGGTTCAAAGAAGCTGATTCTTACAGTTAAAGGGTACATATTTTAGTGTGTATATATATATATATATATATATTTATAGTTGTATCTTTTGAGTAGGTGTGATCTGACAGTGATAACATCTTGTAAAATGGAGTGTATACTTTGTGGCAGCAGTTTTGTGGCTCTGATGATCAACCAAAGTGGTGACGATTTGAATTTGAAGCAATTTTGTTTTGTTTTGTTTTTTTTTGTTTTTATTGTTTTTGTTTTTTTTTTTTTTTTGGTGTCATTATATTTTGTCTTAGAGGATCACCAAAACAAACAATTGAATATGTACTGCTGTAAAGCTTCAACTCGTAAGTCCCTTGTCTACTGTGAAGATTCACTTGATTCTAGTTTATCAAATGTTAGAAAAAAAGGGTGATAGAATCTTTTTAATGCTCTTTGATCCATGTGTTGTTGGTCATTCCAAAGGGTTTTTCTACTTATAATTCATTGCACCAAATTTGAATTGCCCATCCCAAGCATGATTTATGTAGTCTTTTTTTCTAAAAATATCATGTAATTAAAAATTAAACTTATAAGAAAATTTGACGTCACAAACATTTGATTAATCTTTCATGTATTATTATATTTTTCTTATATATAATAAAATATAATCTTGTTAATTTTCTTAAAATGGATATTTGGCTCATTGTATATTTTTCACACTATAAGATTTATATGAAAAATTCACTTGAACCATCTCATGTAAAGAACCCATTTTACTATCTTTTATTGCAAGAATATATTCTTAATGATATAATCTAATTTCACAACTTGATCAATAGAAGGCTATTTGTGAAATTTATTCAACTTATGTTATTTCAAATAATCTTTTCTAAAAAATACATATTTAGAATAAGACACATAATACTTATGTTATTTCACAATATATAAAATAATACAAAAATCTATAAATAACAATATTATTATTCAACTTTGAAAATTACAACTATATCCAATTAAAGAAGAATAGATTGTTTACAAAAGGAGACAATATTTTTGTACGGTTTTCAATTTATAAATTATTTTGGAATTAAAGCATCTTAAAAATATACATTTCCTCAATGATTTTTTTTCGATTCTAGTGTTAAAATATTTTAAATAAATTTTACATCATATTTAACGAGCCAAGTATGTCATATGATTTGTTGAATTTTGCAAATCATGTATGGATCCTTAAAATATATAATTTTAATAATGTTTCAATTATAAGAACAATTTGAAAATCATGCAATGTAGATTTTAAAGATACATGTCATGATACTTATAATTTTTCTTATTATAAATAGTTATATCAGTTTAAATAAAAATCAATTAGAATAAAAGTTGTAATTTGTTAATTGCTTGTTGCAATACAAGTAAAATCCATTTTGTTAGGGTGGACTTATTGTTGTACATCGCCTTCTTATGTAACATCATTTTTTAACTAGTGTAGCAATATGCTTGCATAATTCTTGTATAGTAATTTAATTATTTGTTTATTAAATTTTTTATTTTAGCTTCATAATTATTCAAAATAGGATATAATTAATAAAATATATTCAATACAATAAGATGAAATCTTTATATCTTCAAATATGGTTGGAAGCCTTCCAAAAATAACAAGTATTTTCAGTGCTAATCTACCATTATAAAATTTTATATTATACCCCAACATGTATGGAGATTAAGCAACTTGCTGAAAGTCACTAGACTTTGAAATCACAGACAATTAATACAATTGACCATTTACATGTTATTTATGCAAGAACACAAGGTAAGAAATTGAAACATCATAGAAGTTGGAAGAAAAATCTTACAATGAGCAAATAACTACATTTGCAAAGTTACATTTTAAATATTTTTCTAACTTGGATTCAGTAAAAACTTAGTTATATTAGTATATCCAACAATCAGTCACCTTATAATTGATTTAAGTTCATACAAAATTAATGAGACAATATGAAGGATATAAAATAAAATTTCAACTACATATAGATTGAAAATGTTTATCTGTCTAATTTTTTTACTGAACCAGAAAACATGAAATATATACATATTGTGTATCATATTATGCACAAAATGAGAACAGTCTACTATTGCACTGTCAGAGTTGGGTTTGGATTAGTGTTGCTCCAAATGAAGGTTGGAGATAAACAATAGAGAAGTAAACCTGTTAGGCTTCAGAATAACTATATTTTGTGTCATCCATCCAAAGAATTATTTTACACAGGTTTTGTCTTTGCTGTATCATTGAATACAATACACAACAAATTCAGTAAGTTTTTTTTTATTGAAATTGAGTTGTACTTCAAGTAGAGGGGCAAACACATTTGGATCTTGTGGCCAAATAAAAATGACACAACCCTCAACAAGATCTCATGGGAAAATACAAGCCATTAGCATTGAACAAAACACCAAACCAATATGAGAAAGAAGGACTACTCATGGAAGCATTTGGAGGAATGACCCAAAAAGGTGAATTTGAGAGAAAAAAGGCAGCCTCCATTCAAATTAGGGTTTCATCATCTTCCACTACTCCCACCCCATCATTCTACTATTCATGGTTTACTTCATGAGCAAAGATGGATGTGCACACACACAATCCTTTCTTGTGCAGCTTTTCTATGCACTGTGGGGAAATGAGGCAGCAGCAGGACATACCTACAGTGTGCTCTTTCTTTCTTGCTGTTGCTTTTCGTGGGGATATGTACGTGTTTCCCCAGTCACATACAGCACTGTTCTGCTCCTGTCTGTCTACTCTACTCTGGGGTTTGTCTGAGAGCTGCAGCAGCAGGCAAGAGCAACAGTAGTATGTGCCTGGAATTGTGAAGAAGATGATAAAAGACAACACCAAGCTCTCCCACTTGCACTCTGTGATGCTCCCCCTCCTGCCTCCTACCTCCATGTGGTAGAGTGTGTATTGTGCTGAATATAATATGTATATATATATATATATATATACACATACACAGAGAGAGAGAGAGAGAGAGAGAGAGAGAAAGAGAAATGGATGGTGTGTTGCTTTTTTTCACTTCTCCTCTAGAATTAGCTATTGTCTTCCTTTGCTTGTGTTTTTGGTTCACTTGGAATGAATGAAGTAGCAACAGAGAATAGAGCAAGAATAGTGCAAAGTCAATCTCAAATTGGATAGATCAGATTGTTTGTATATATGTATATACATATTCACATGGAGTATTGAAATCTCATTTTATCCATGCATTTACTCCATTTTATTGGCTTGCATGATGTGGCATGTTGCCATGTTAGCATTAAAATAAAAATAAAATCGAATATATATATATATATAAACAAATAGATATAACTTCATTATTTGATATCATTTACCTAATATTCCTTGCATAATGTATAAAATTTCCATTCTTTGAAACTATTAATTAAGCAAGGTACTATTGTGTGTATATATAAGGTATTGCTAATGTCACCATAGTTTTTGTTAGTGCCACCACATCCAATCACCAACTCAATGTATATATTTAGTATTTATTTAGAATATATATATATATATATATATATCAAAGTAAAAATATCATATATATTTCTTGAATATGCTAAAATAACAAATATATCCCTGATATTTTTGATAATAGCAAATGTACCCCTTTTGGTGATACTATCATACCTTCCTTCACATTGGTGAAGATAGGTGGCTTGATGTAGTAGTCCTTGCTCTCCAAATGACCTCCACTTGCAAACCAACATCCTAGTTTGTGTTAGAAAATAAAGAGATTTGAATTGTTACTAATGACTAAATTATAATTTAAAAATTAACAATGGAATACTGATGTGCTCATTGTCACCTATGAGAAGGTTGACACCTTCTTCTATGTCCCTCTTGATATAATCAAGCACCTTGTGGAATTAGCCCTTCTCCACTTGAGGACCTTGTTCCATGCCATTTCTAAACAAATCACCAATAAAGCACTTCAATGTGCAAGCCTTCGATTTCTCTATAAACTTGTTGCAGATATTTTCATGGACAAAGATGCAAGAGGCAGCACAACAACATTGGCCATGGTTAAAGAACATCTGGAAATAGGCAAGCTCAACCACTTTGTCCATATTTGCGTCTTCATAGATGATAATGGGGGATTTTTCTCTAAGCTCTAGGATCACAAGTTTCAAATTGTTGTACACTACAACAGCTATGACAAGCTTCTCAACCTCTATCAACCTTGTAAAGGCCATTTTGTGGGTACATTGGTCATGTACAATATAAAATCGGAGATTTGTGAAAAATACATTGTAGAGCTAGTTTTGACTAACACTAGATTGTGAATTAGTCTTTGGGCAATAATTTGTGATTTTTTTCCATTCTATCTAATAAGATGGTTGTAAAAATAAAGCTTTGGCTAAAAATATTATTTATATTATACTTATATTAAAAAAATGGATATTTTTGCACATAATACAATCTAAAAAAATCAAATATATACCTCAAGTATCCTAAAATATCAAGAATGCCCTTGGATTTTTGATAATAGAAAATGATTCCCTATATATGATAGGATATTACCACAAGAGGTATATTTTCTATTATCAAAAATATATAGATATTCTTAATATTTCAACATACTTGAGGGATATGTATGATATTTTTTCTATATTAAACTATGAAGAAATAGTTGTGATAACAATAGCAAACAAAAAAATTGACTAAAATTTGATTGTATTTTTCATGAGATTGTAGTAGGAGTAGCAAAACTATGGTGGCATTAATAATATTTTTTGCATATATATATATATATATATATATATACATATAATTTAAATTATTTAAATATTAGATATAGAATAAATTAATTTTTTGAAGAATTTTTTAGCTCAATGAGTTTCAAAACATATGCGCCAGACATAGATCATAAGATTTCGTTAAACAATTGATAACGCAGATATGTCTACTGCTATCGAGGGTTTCACCAAAACCATTGTATGCAGGATAATGAAAAAAAAGTGTAAAATTATTGTAAAGTCGTTTCTTAATTTGTGATGTCGTTTACGGGTGAAAATTACAGTAGTGAAGAAGCAACTTCTGGTATTTAACATTTATAATTATTTTCCATTTCGGTGGTGTGTGTGTCCTTCTTCGAGGCTTTTTGCAATGGAATGTAGCCTTGAAGCAAACCTGAGGGTTGAGGATGAATTCCTGTCAAGGATACTTGGAACCTGTTTCGGCATAATAGAAGCGAGCTATGTATGAGATGGTTTAGCATTTACAAAGTATATTGATTCCAGCCTACAGCACGAATTTGCAAGCATTTTTTTGAGCGGATAGAATCCTTGTCATGTAAAGTAGAACATGGAAAACAATATTACTCTGGTTGGCTCGAAGCAAGGAAGGTCAAACAGATTCAACCCTCGGTAAGCAGCAGTTTAAGTGAGTAGTTGCAGCAAATCAAAACCATGTCGTTACTTTAAGATCTTATTTCACGTTACTCTCAACAAGTCGATTAACGATCTTCCTGAAAAGTCTCTCGGAATCTGGGATCGTGCCTAAATAGATGCCCGGTGCAGTGGCGTTGTCACTTTCTGGCGTCGTCAAATGTCGCAGACATATGAGAAATGTGGACAGTGCTCTACATGACCGGGTGCAACAGGGCCACCACAACACGAAGGAGCTCGGATTTCATGCGGTAGTGTTGTAGGAAGACTACAGTGGCTTCAGAGGAATTAGTTTTTAATCTTGCCCCGAGATCTGCCTCAGCATTAACACGAATGACATGCACCAAGCATCAGGTGCTGCACCGCATTCCCACCGTATTGTGCAACTAGTCATGTGAGCTGGAGTACGTAACGAGCAGGAAAAGAACCTGCTAATTTTATTTTTTTGCAGGAGTCCAGTTAAGTGCGAAGTGCGAAGTCGAGCACGCTTTGCACGAACTCCGTTGGTCGCACGGAACCACCTCTAAATCTCTACGCACACTCTAAACGCATAGTCACACTTCCATCGCTTAATTCGACGTTATTTTTTGGCGTAATTGTTTAATATTAATAAGTGTTCACCCATCCGAGCATTGCCCGAGCTAGCCGTCCTTGTTTTCTTTGATGTGTTTTTTGGCTATGCTAACTTTCCCGCACGCAAGAGCGCCATGTCTTTAGCGTGATCCAGCGATGGATTTTTCCAATTGCTTCAAATTTTGAAGAATTTGAGGTCCGATTGAGTTTGATGAATTTCTGCAGTGACCACTCTGAGGCCTGCATTAACCTAGTTCGATGCACTGTCGACTCGCGCGGCTTCCCTTGCTTGTAGCATCTTCTCGGTGCATGTACTTTCAGCAGGGACAGTGGTGGTATTAGCATATTAAAAAGTAATTCGGTGCAACGAGTACGTTCTGTCTTTCTTAGTGGCGCACCGGTTTGGATCAGACCTTCATTGATGGAGTGTTCCGTATACAACAATTCTTGGTTTCGTGGAGGGGCTGAATAATACTGCTGCGAAGTTGTGGACAGCGATGGCCGCACGCCAGTGATTGGTCAGGCGGCGACCAGTCAAGCGGTCAGTGATTCCGTCATGGTTGTCAGATGAGATTGGCTTTGGTGTCAGTGGTATTTCATGCATCTAGAAATGGTGTCATATTAAAAGAGGTCGCTGGACTGAAAATAAACGATTTGAAATTTACCACAGCGCCTGACGTAATGTTGTCGAAGTTGTGTCAACATAACCAGACAGTGGATGAGTTTATAACAGACGCAACGCGCACAGACATTCTTTACTGTTCATAGACAAAACAAATTAATAATAGAGGATTAAATACATCATTGATAAAAATTAATTTTGGTGAACATCCATTGCAAGGGTCTTGGAATGTGGTTGTGGATGCCGAACTCTACATTCCCCCCATTTTGAAGGACTGACGATAGTCTTGTATCCGTCAGGTCTCTTCGCATCTTTTTCGGTATAGGTAGGTTCATGCATGCAACAGATCAGAAGACCATACTCGTTGAGATGAACTTATTTCTCAGATAATTGAAAAGTCTTGAATATTACGCAGCAAACAGTGAAGGATCCTCGTCTTGCTGAGTACATAATGAGCTGCGAAGAGTTGCATCTGCAAACATAGTCGAGCAGTCAAGTGGATTTTTTCACCGAGGGCTTTGGTGATACAGTTCTGTAATCACTCAGAGATGTGTATCTAGTTCGTGGTTTTACTTCATTTCTTTCCAAACTTTTGATATCCTTGAGATTTGCAGTATTGAGGAAACTCAGACGAGCAAAGAGTCGCCACTGTCTGTTAATAACTTTTTTGTCGACCTCGACTGGAAGCTGATTGCTAGACTGCTGGTCTGCTTGGATTTCATCTGCAAGTACTGAAGGGAGCTCTTGGGGAGACATGACTTTGTCTTGACACCAATTCAATCTAAAGGTAGAGACGCAGTTCACGTTTAAGCCTAACGAATACAGGTGAATGAATAAGTTGTAGAATTTGCCCGAGTTTAAAGCCATCCCCTAACCAATGAAGTACCTCACTACCTATTCTCCTGTGCGTTGTATCGGCCAAAATCTGCAGTGCGGAGTCTGTAGGAGATGCATGAAATAAGGGTACACAGAAATTTCTACATCTTCATGACCTATATATTTTGTTTAATTACAACTGTGTTTCAATTTGTATCCGAGTGATAATCAAGGATATTAAAGCTTTGGAGGAGGATTGTGTTGAGTACTGGCCGGCGAAAATAGCTCCACGTACCTAAATGAACGTAGTAGCAAACTCCAGCTGATGATTTGTCGCATTGGTTTTATCCTCCAACCTCAGGCCAGATAAACCTAACACGCGGGGAAGCACCACTTTACGACCATACCCGAACTGTTTTAAGTAGCGAAGTGCATTGAGTGCTGCTCATTCTCGACGCTGTACTCGATGGCTTTTGGAATTGGAAGTCCTTACAACATAGGGGGAGATTTTGAAGCATACACACAAGGCATTGTAAACGATGAGTATGCATCTGATGTGTCATCCGATTCGGAGGACGAGGAGGTTTTCAAAACATTGGAATCAAATGTTCCAAGATCAGGGAAGCGAACGTACGGCGTCCCAGCTGAGAAAATTTTCCCTGAACACCGACGCAAGAATGCCAAGCTGGATCAACAACTTGCTATCTTGAGATCGATGTTACCAAGCGGTCGAGAGGTAAAAACGTTTGAGGTGAGAAACACGATTGAACTTATTATCAGAAATCCATTTTAGGAAATTTGAACTTGTTCACATCCTTCAGTTTCGAATGCCTCGCAATGTCTAGAAAGTTTTGAATCAGAATGAGTTGCGAATATCGCGCATCGGTGATGTAGATATCAGCTGCTTAATCTGCATTTTTACAGCATTGTGACATAAACCCTGTGTGGTTATGCCTTTAAATGTGTGGAGCTCCTTTCTGAGTTCGAGTCTGATCTTTCTCAGGATGAGAGGGTTTCTATTGTGATGAACGCATACAAGCACGTACTCAAACTTCAAAAATGTGTGGGCGATCTCAACGCCGACCTGGCATCGTTGCAAAATGCTTCTGCAAGCCCTGTCGATGGAGGATTGCATCCTAAAGATCCAGCTGGAACACAAACAATAAACATGAGCTCCATGAATGATGTTTCATACGAGCATCCAGAGGTATATTTTCACCTGAAAACTTGAGACAATGAAGAGCATCAGCTACGTACATTAATTGACTAGTAGGACCTTATAAGTTAATTCGCAGAGGGCTTGTCATATCGTAGTCATGGTTAGTGTCTTGAACCGATTTTGTACAAATGAAGAATTTTTAAGTTCAATTGTTTCAGTGTAAAAAGCATATATAGGGAAATTTTTATTGCTTGGCTAACACAGTCCAGTCAGTGAACAATAGCCATGAATTTGAGATGAAAGTTAATCTCCAGGATTCAATGAGCTTGATAGGATTAGGGTAACTAGCACGGTAGGAATATGACTTGCCGGTGATCTCACGAGGTCAAAGTGAAGACTATCAATTGCCCGCTTCAGCAAGAGCTCACCAAATCATAAATTGAGTTTTCGAACAGGTGGAGGTGAAGCGTGTTGATGGGAAAATGGAACTGCACATCACTTGTCTAAATCGGGCGGGCCTCTTGTTAGACATTCTCACCACTCTCGACTCCAAGAGCATCAGTGTACCGCAGGGCAGTATTATATGTTGCGAGAACATTTTGTTTCTAGCATTCAGGTTGGAGGTAAGCAACACAGTAGATTCTGTGGTGCTTCACGCTGGCTCAGAGCGCTTGCCTGAGGAAGCTGATGACGATGATTTGAAGCATTGTATAGTCCGATCCATCCGCCAGGGCCCTTCTGACTATAATTCGAAGTGACTTCCTTTTTGGGAATTGCGTCATTGCAACGCGATCTTGCCAACTTCAAAGTCAGGAGATAATTGTTGGTAGGGTGAATTGAACCTGAATTGTGGGTCCGTAGTTTCGCTAAACCCTAAACTTGGGCCCCTTACGCTGCGACGTTTTGACGCCGATAGAAGTGTAATGAGCAAAAAAACAAATGTTAGATACTGTTTGGGCTATATTTTGGAATGCTCCACAAGATAGATTTGCACTTTACCTACTAGACCCGCGTACAAAATTGAACTGAAAAAAAATTCATGTCAAATAAATTATAAAAAAGAAAAAAGAAAAAAAAAAAAAAAAAAAAAAAATCTTACATATTCTCTATCAATTGATTTGAATATTCATCATTGGTTTTTGAATGTCTATAGTAATAATACACTCAAATTTTACATGATTCTCTCTTTAATTCTATATAATCAACCTAATAAAATTCATTATAATTCTTTAAAAACTTACATCTTGTATATAGCATTAGAATTTTACTATTGATTATTAGATGATATCTAAAGTTTTCTAATACAATTTACTTTTATTTTTTACAAACATTATTTATAAAAGGATATTCACAAAATCTCTATATCAATGTTTTGTACATAGTAGGTGACAACAATTTACTAATTTTGCAAAGAAGTCAAATTTAATGTAGTGATTAGTCTAACTTGACTTACATTTTTTTCTACCAACACTTGCCCAAGTCAAAATGTAGAACTAAATTCATTAAATTTTGTTTTAAACTATAAGCCATGAGATGCACACACTTAAGTGTTTTTTGTTAGACTTATTAAAAATCAATTATAATTGTATGTAGCACAAACAAACAAAACTTAACAATAAATATAGATTTAAAAAATGCAAATATTTATAAAATATTTTATTTGATTCTAGGTTGTAAAATAGATATTTTATTTGTTTAAAAATGTAAATTCTTTCTAATAAATATAATCTAAAATGTAACTTGTATCTATGAATACATATATATATATATATATATATATATATATATATATTTTGTTGATGTTAAAAAACTTGTAAATTATCAATCATTATAAAATTGTAGCTTTACATATACAAGTAATATATAAGAATAGAGATTAGGTCAAACTCTCTCTTAAAAGACAATATCAAGTTGACAATGAAAAATTGCTAGTAAAGTTTTAATACATATTGGCAAAAATAATAAGAATCTTATAGAGAAAGAACTGAAATCTAAAAATAAATGGAATCAAATAAATGTAGAGCTTAAAAGATTAAAAATAGAATCAATAAGTGAAGATTAGATTTTAAAATTTGTGAATTAGAATATCAATCAAAGCATTTTAAATTAATGATCATTATGATTAGAAATTCACATTTTATAATAAGATTGTATAGGTAGAATAATTTTTTCTTGTAAAAATGTTTATTAGTTTTGATACTTGTGTTTTAAATTTTATTTTTGTAATATTTGTGTATGTATATATATCTTTAGTTTGATTTTGTTTGTATTAAAATATAACTTGTAGGATTCTTCTTATTATTGAATTGGAAATAAGACATATAATTTAATAGAATAATTTGTGTTAATTTGAATAATTTGAAGATATGTGCATACAAAAAAGTAGTTATGTCATGATTTCTTTTTTGAAATATAAAATTAAAATTAAAAAATTGGACTCATTCCAATATCTAATCATGATATAGAATTTTGACATTGCTTTAATTTTTAATTAATCAATAGGACTTAACAAAAAAGAATATATATATAAAATTTAATCCTAAAATGAAAATATATAATATCAACTTGTATGCAAATCAAAGTAGATTTTTTAAATAAAAATTGTTCAAAAATCATAATTATAAGAAAATGTTATATAGACCCAAGATTTTACTAAATTAACCCACTCATCCTAACCATCATGAAAAATAAAAATAAAAATTGACTAAAAATTCATTTCTCCACTATTAGATCCAAAACTAATAAAAACCAACCACATTCATCATGATTAACATTTTCTTCATCATGGGTAGATTAATTTAGTGAAAACCTGGATCTATTTAACATTCCCCTAATTATATTAATACAAATATTAAATTTTTGTCAACCAAACCATAAATCCTAAAAATGGATAATTAGGGCAAAGATATAGAGTAAAACCACGTAGCTGTCTTGACCATCTTTTAGGGTTTTGCTTCGCGTCGTCACGAAATTGGAACTCTACGAACACTTCCAACTCGGTGGAGGTTGACGACATTTTCTGTCGAGAGCTTTCATTCCCTGGAAGTTCTGCGATGGTTTTGGAAGGGTTTTTCGGAATTGTGACAGTGGTAAACACAAGTATTTGTTTAGTGTTCCTTGTGGTTTGCCAGTATACAGATTCTGTCTCGTGTTAGCGACGAATGGATTATTAATTGGCGGGGTAGAGCATCGAGCGTAGCGATGGCGGTCAAGAGATGGAATCCGTTTTTGAAGTTTGGAGTTCCTCTCATTTCTCTCACCGTTTTGGGATCTGTGGCTCTAGCCCATCTGCAACAGGGCAGGTATGCTGTTTTTTTCTTTTCTTTTGTTGTCTGGTTTAGGGTTCCAGGGCTTCGAAATTTGTGAAAATGATGGTTGCGGAGGTTTTAGCAGCGAGTTGGGGCTTGAGGTTGAGTAATGTATTGTGACTTTGTGAATGGAGCCCAGGAAGGATGTTCTGACGGCTCGGGATGAGAAGGAATGGGCAGCCATGGCTGCCAGTAAGGCGCTAACTCGTGAAGGTGCGGTAGCCAGTGCTGTAGCAGAAGCTGTCGCACGGAAAAAATCTCTCGATTTAAATGAGGAGCTGAAGGTGTGCACAATGTTGAATTTACGGTGATGTTTTTAAATGCACTTGTGACGAAGCAGAGCTCGACTTGTGCTCTTGAAGCTTGAGTTTATTGGTTGGGAATGGTAATAGCTTCTGTTACTTACCCATGTTTATGTGTCTTAGGACGTTTTGAACAAAGTTAATATCGATGATTTTGAGTACGTGCGAGTGCCCAAGCTCAAAGAAGTGGCCGAGTGATGTGGAGCTCAACAGTCTGGTCTCTTCAAATTGCATTTCTGGACCTCGAGAAGAAGTAACACGCCTCCGGTTATAATTGAAATGCCTACTTGCTCTATCATGGTTGGATGCAGACGTAAGTGCGTTTGACTCATATCAATCAAGGATACGGATCTGTCGCCGGTCTCTTAACCAAGACATTTCTTCCAATATTCAGGCACAGGTGGGTTAGATTAGAAAGCTTAATCCTCGAACATGCCTATAGTCTTCGGTTAGTGTAGATCATAATCTGCGTGAGTGTCTCATACACTTTTCTATTCATCTCATCTTAGAATGATCCTTGTGATTGTTGTATATGGTTTATATTGTGCTTCACAATTGATTCACGTAGAGCAATTAAATATCTATTCTAATATGTGATTGTTCTATTCAATTTTGCAATGGGTTCGCAGGAAGACGGCGGGGTCGATGATATCCAGTAGTCGATTGCTTTCTTAACAGAGAGAGCGCACTTACTTTGCGTCTAGAAACACCAACTTAGGAACAGACTGTTTCAATGTGCACATAACGTGTATGTAGGATTTGAAAAGTTGCGGGCTTGTTTACCTTTTTACTTAGTACATCGTGGGGTCAAATTGTTCATTCTGGTGCCGTCTGAAGTAGAACTTTACTTCGGGAAAAGACGTTTATGTAACGTCTACGTATTCTTCAGAATGTAATTCATATTTTCGGCACTGTTTTTCAATGAATTCTGGATATAATTGTAAGGACCCATTGATCTATCGCACCAAGAGACTAAAGCTGTACATGTCATGAAAGATCATATGTAGCATCAACATACTTTGAACCCAGAGCAGGATCATTACAAGTAGATTACACGTTTGTTCATCTTTCTTACGTTGACAAATTGGTACTAGTATCTGCGCCAATGTGTGAAATGCCAAATGACAACTGTTAACAAATTTCATAACAAATGTGCAGACACAATTTTCTTTTTCATTTACAAACTGTGTAAAAAGCAGATATGGAAGTAAATGTTCTGAAAAGGACAAGAATCAAATCATCAATATTTCTTAACTGAAACTCCAAAATAAATATCACACAAAAAGGCACACAAGTAAAGACAGCAATACAACTTGTGGCACCATTACTAACCTAACTGATCTCCATAGGTACTAGATTTCTATCATTAAACACAGCTCTGTGGGGATGATCCTCAAAGCATTGTCAAGTATCTGCCAGGTGAATGTCGAACGTAAGATGGGCTTATCATCACATCTGTGTAGGACTCCTTGCCATGCACGAACCTGACGTAAAAGTAGACGCGAAGTTGGATATGGTACCTACCTTTGTTCAAACCGTCTGTAATTGTAGATAAGCGGGAGCAGAAGTGGCATTTTGGATACAGAGACGGAGTAGATAGGTCCGCAGTGGTAGCATTGTGCAAGACGTCTCAGCCAAGCACAAACAGGCTAAAAGTCTGGGGAGGATCAAAAACTGGGAGACCATGCATAACCAAATGTGCACCATATTGTTGAATACAGGTGCACATTTCCTCTACATGGCGCTTCAGTGTGCACTATCGAACTGGTTAGATGATATTCCAGGACAGAGGCGCACCACAATCCTCGCCTGTCCTACCTCTTTGGCCCTTACCATATGGCTTCAGTTCCACTCCCAAGGAACGTTCACAAAAAATATTGAAATCGAAAGAATTCTCACAGCTAGTTACTGCTGCATTCGCACTGACCTATGTATCACCCGTACAAGAGAAACGTCTGCAGGATCTTAGTGATGCTTGGTGAAGGACAGAAACACCCCCAGCACCAGAGTGACTTTGTGCTCAGCCAACAAGTCTTAGATTTGAACTTGGGGGCAGCAAATAGCAGTGCCTCATCACCCAGGTTCTTTCGAATTTCTACCTACAACCTCAAGCTTTCGTTCAAATTTTTCTTCCAACACATGCGGTGAGCTTTCAGGAAGCTAAAGTATAGTGCAGCAGCAATTTTCGCTATTCGGGGTTTCGGACTGCTGTTTTTCTATATCAACGCAGATCACAACACAGCAGAAATATAATTAACTTAACGGAATATCTGGCAGATGCAGACACAAAAGTGCACATACCAAAAAAAAAATTAACAGCTAGTGTAATTCAGCCAAAATGAGAGTGGTGCTTACAAGCACATAAACTGCCGAAAATGTCAGACAAATGCAGAAATCAGAAGCGCAATCTTCACAGCCAGAGGGGATGGATGGAGGTTTGGTACCACTAGCTTTATCGTTCGAGGGTGGTCGTACAACAACATGCATGGTAATCACACATCCCGGAATCTCCCCCAATAGTACTCTGGAATCAGCGAGAGTTTTGGTATTCTCCAAAATTTTACCAGCATTTATCAATTTAAGGTCGTTAATCGACTTCGGGCCATTTTGTTTCTCTGCACCAACGCAAAACTCCACCGCTCAAATTTCCTCGCCATAAAATGAGTATGCCCCAAATTACATGGCCACTCCAGCAACAATCAGAAGAACTGAATCCCACACACCTTTTGGCCACTGATTGAGGATACTCTCCTTCATGTTGGCCACAGTAGTCGTTGGAGCATATCTGTTAGGACCTATGTCTGTTCCGTCATGCAAACGGAACTTGAGCTCCACCAGCTCCTCCAAAGACATCACAGACATACCTTCCACACCACCAACTTTTACCAGTCACCTTTTCGAAGTCACTGAGGAGTCACGTCCCAATACTGCTGTAAAATTAGGAACGCTTCACCGCTGCCTCCACCCGATAAAGAACCAATCGTCCTGGATTTCATCCACTTGCATCAGATTAGAGAAGTCCAACTATCAGCGACAGGACGCTTAGATTCACAATATGAATTACCTCAAATCATTCGTGTTCTCCAATCATGAGACAAAAACAGGGCAATATAATCGTTTCACAAAAAAAACTGGACCCACCAACTCAAATATTCCTGTTTACTTACATGTGCGTAATGAGAAGGAGAAAATCAGCAGTGGAGACAAACCTTTTTAGCCGGGATATATACTGAGTCTGATTGATTTTACTGCGACAGACTCGAAAAACGATGAGAAAATAACAAACCTAAGCATCAGAAGAGTCCCATCGTGGCAAGGAAAACAAGAGAGAGCTCTACAGCAAATTTAAAATTTAAAAGATAAATCCACTTTCAATGCAAATCACAACCCACTGGAGTAGTCTCAACTCGATTCCAAACTATGCTAGAGGTAGAGTCGACAAGGCTAATCCAACCATCACGATCGATTACTCACTCACCGCTACGTCCACCCCTGGAACGACCCGTCCCACAACAGCACAAGAGAAAAGTGGGCGGACACAATTTCAAAAAACCGAAGAGTAACTCTTCTCGAGAATCTCAAACAACAGATCAAGGCTCATAGTCAAAGCTACAGAAAATCTTAGATCATGGACAAGCGACTAACGCGATACCTAGAACACTGTAAGAGGAGTCCAACAACTCAAACTAGACAACACAAAGCTTGAACAAAAACCAAATCCCGGAGCCTAAGATCAAGAAACACACCATCATAAACTCCTGCAGCAGAAAGGATATGATGCCTCTCCAACACCAGAGAACACAAAATTATCAAACCATGCAATCCAATCCTTCGCCCGCCCGTCTCACCGCACGTCAGCAAACCAAAAATTCAAGAACCAGAAGAATCCAGAGGCTCCAAACCCGTGAATTTCCAACCTGGCCTAATGCCCACGCCAACATCCCCACCATCAACTCCATCGATGACACCCAAATCGCTCGATGCACACCATAATTGCCACAACAGGGCAACAAATCAGCCTTCTCTCTCTCTCTCTCTCTCTCTCTCTCACACACACACACACTCACCAGAGCTCTCATATAATCACACTTCCACCACAGTCACGCTCCCCTACTCTGTCCTGCGTCTCTTCCAGATTCACCAACAGCTGCTCGTCGTCCACCGCGCCATGGACTCCACCCCTTTCTCATAGATCCATCCACGGCCCCCGCACTGCATCTCTTCCACAACTCCTCCACAACCGATCACCTCGCCTACAGGCTCCACATACTGCCTGGTTGGTTGGTGGCACACAATCCACACAAAAGCCTGGTCTCAAAACGTCCAATTCGAAGATTGTGTCACCAAAGCATTCGGAGCACCGGGGTGAAGAAAACCCTACGTTCCTCGTCGTCTACCTGCAGAGAGAACGAATCTGGATGATGAGACGACAATGGCCATGGCACCAGCTGAAAGACCGAACAAAAACAGAAACCGAGGGCAAGTAGCTACAGTCTGCTGCTAACCTAGTTTAGATCAATGCCATTTTCAAACATACGAAGATGATGGACCTGCAGAATGGAACGACAACGAGAGAATGCGAACAGAATAGAAACATAAACAAAGCATGAGCGAGAGAGACGGAGAGAGGCTTAGAAAAACTCCATAGCCCTCCCCTTCCCCTTCATTCCTCATCAATATGGAAAGAATCCTGGATTCGACCAGAGGCACCCACCCCCGCGTTCCAGCGACCTCGGAGATAGGCGACGCCACGTTGGCAAGCCCCCTCGGAAAACTTGTTACTGCCCTCGTTTCCTTTTAGCCTCTTGCTTCTTATATGCATTTTATTTTATTTTACTTTACTTCTTTCCTATGCCTCCATTTTTTTTATTTTTTTTATTTTTTTCTGGGTATTTTAGCTCAACCGTTCTTCCTTTGTGATGACATTTTTTATTTTTACTTTTTTACTTTTTTTATTTTTTTCCAAAGTGTTTTATGTAAAAATTCTTGTTGGACAATTTGTTGCAATTACTTTGGCTACAAGCTCTCTAAAATCTACTTGTCGTGCAAGTTATGAGATTACTTTGTGGGTTTGTGTCATTGCATATTGGGTGTTTTCTTGTTTTGAGAGTTGTGGAGGGGATTTTATTATGGATTCACTTGGGCAAAATGACTTGTTCTTCTAACCATTGAACATTCTTGCTATTTTTTTATTGCTTATTTTTTTATTTAGACATCCTAATTATATTGTAAAAAAAATTATTTTCTTCTAAGAAATCAGGTACATTAACTTGCTCTATTGAAATTCAGCTATAGAACAACAAAAGGTCATCAACCAGGTGCAATACATGGTAGATAATGAGATTTGAATATTCTCATGTTTTTTAATATATTTTTTTCATAGTTTATTTTTCTACAGCTAATGTATACAAGAATATATGAATTAGAATCAGCAAAAATATTATTTATGTATCCAAAAAAATATATTAAATTCCTATCGGTTATGAATCTTGTGTTGGGTTCAATGGCACATGACAATCCAAGGGATAGTACGTCAGAATTAGACTCACAAACATCATTCATTAATACAATCTTGCATAGTATTGTAAATGATATAAATCTACAAATGCAAAAAGAAGAAATTTTACTTTTTAACATCATTTTTAAGTAAGTGCTGATTAAAATTGTATCATTTGATGAAGAGATGAACAAAATATTACCATTATTAATTTTTCAATTCTTTATAAGTAGCCTAATTGAATACAATACTAGATATAAAGAGTAAGAAATCTCAGTTAACTAGATTTAGTCCCTCCATCTTTGTATTGATCTTTACTATTGCTAAAATTCATATTATAAAGAACCAAAAACTTGATGTATTTGTAAATTTCATTCATGCTTTTATGATAAGAATGTATGTGGTTATGTTCAAATTCATTTTTATTTCTCTACATAGATTCAATGTATTAACTATACTTGAAATCACGCCAATCAAAAAAAAATCTTGCATATATGTTCTTAAGCAATTCAAAAGTAAGGCTTTATGGAAATGAATTAGTTCTTTAAAAAACAAGAATTTCCATGAAAGCATATTTGAGAAGGAACAAAAAGCACCACTATTGAGAAGGAATTGTTAAAAAAACCTATTTGATGCATCTGAGAAAAAACAAAGGTATAGAATAAGAAGAGAAACATATATATATATATATATATATATATATGCAAAGAGATGAAAGTAGAAACTAGTATCAATATATATATATATATATATATATATATATAAGAAAAAACTTAGTGGTTTAGTTAGACAAGAAAAGCTTATTCATCCTTGTGAGCCTTGCCAAAGGATGCTTACTTATGAAAACTTTTTAAAATCCAAGATGTATAAGACTTGTAGAAATTTCTAAAATTTTGACAAATCCTTAGTAACAAGAATGGCTTCTTAAAGCACAACATTTGCACCATTAAGCAATAAATTATATTATTGTATCTTCTAATTATTATCTATCACAAGGAATTTTAACTCGCTTCAAAAAAATTTAAGTTAATACTTATTCTAATCTTGTAATATTTGTGTATTATTATATAATTCATATTTTCTTTAATTCAATGCTAGTAATCAATGATAAAAAAACAAGTTATATGCTTGATTATATATTTTATTAACAAGAAAGTGACTCTTCCACCAATTAATGCTCCCCTCAAAGCTTTTGCATAGCCTTTTAAAAAGTATTGATTGCAAGTCAAGGTCATTTTAAGACAATATTCAAGGATATAACAATGCATTAGCATTGACATTTTTAGAGCAAAAATTAACTATTGTCTTGTCCAAGGGAATAACTACATTTAGGAAGAATTGTACCACTAAATAGGTAGACTATTCTATGTTAATGAAGAGATTTCTAAGTTAGTGCAACTCTATACTTTTAATCCAAGAATAGAGTTGGAAAATAGAGTGGCTTATTTTCAAGGTATATAACATAATATTATATTGGCACTACAAAAGATATTATTTATTTTTAATTTATATGTGCATCTCTTTGTTAGTACAAGTACGCACATATAGACCATTGCTGAAAATCTTTAAATCCAGATAATTGTACTTTGGCAACAAAATGTCCAACATTACAACACATTGACAATAGATGATGTTGGAGGGATCATAGTTGGTGATATGAATGATAGAAGCATACATGAAAGGAACATAGTCCTAAAGTTACTAAATAGAGGTGGCTTAACATGTATAAGCGCTTTACATCCATCATATTAATTGCTTTATTATATGCTTTTGTTTCCACAAGAAGAAATTGGATAGAATTTAAACATACCATTGTATAGATTTATGTAGAGTAAAAATATATTTGTGAATATTAACAAAGATAAGGTTGTTATTAGAAATAATTCAAGGCATGTAATATAAATGCAATTCTATACTTATATGTTGTAGATGCATACAAATAAAACATGAATCTTGTGGCATATCAAGCTTTTTCAGCAATATATGGTTGATTTTTATATATGTATCAAGAAAAAGCAGCTTAGGTTTGTTTGTGAAAACCAAAAGATTTTACAGTCCAATTGATATTATGGGCTTAAAGATGGTGTGTATGCTAGTGATACATATGCAATACAAGTTGGTTGGAAGTTCATTTTGCCTTTATTATTTGTAGAAGGGTCAAGTCAAATGATAAAACCATATTAAGATATAATGGCTAAAGTATGTACATTTAAAAAATAGATTTTTTTATTACTTTCATGTATAATTTAAAGGGGTCCAAAATTGAGGCAAAAATCTTAGAAGGCCATACCATCGAAGATCAATCTAATCTTATTAATTTAATCTTTTAATTAAAATTAAATACTCTCTTAATGATATAAAAGAAGGAGCATTTGGTGAATTTGTGGCTAAGTTGTGAGCATTTGAGTTCCAAAAACAAGATCTCTCACATATCTATATTTTGATCATATTGAAGAAACATTGTAAGTTGAGAATGCTAGAAGATTTTGACTCTTTAGTATCAATTGAACTACTAGACCATCTTTTGCATCTAAAAGCATTTGAAACTATAATTAGTTGTATGGTCCATAAATCATGTTGTATTGAAAAAAGATATAAGTATTCAATTCAAAAACAAAATGTAATGAAGATAGATATATAATTTATTGATGTTGAGATAAATAAAGAACTTATGTTGCAAGAAATGGATTTATTATGAATAATCAAATGATTGTCTTTTATAACATATACTTGGCTACCAAATTCAATGCTTATATTAATGTTAAAATATGTTCTATGATCCAAGTAGTATATTATTTATTTAAGTATATTTACAAAGGTCATGATCAAGTGACTATTAACTTCAAGAATAATAAAATCAATGGATTTTTTGATGTCCAATATGTCTCATTATTTGAAGTGGTATGACATTTTTTCAACTTCAAAATGTATAATAGATCTCTATATATCATGCAATTGTAAATGAACTTACTAGATCAATATATTATGTTATTCAATACAAATAAGAATCTTAGCTAATTCTAAATTTAGACCAATTATAAAAAATGATGATAAAAGAATATTTTGAAATAAATAGGATAATGCTTGAAACTAGAGAAATTTCCTATACAAAGTTTCTAAGACGATTTACTTGAAATACTAGAATCAAGTCATAAAAATTGAAAAAACAAGCTCTAATAATTAAATGGATGTATTTTGTGAATTTTTTTACTAACAAATGATATTTCTTTCAAAAGCTTATTAAAATTATACAAGAAATAATTTTATTTGATATTCTACAAATAAAAGATTGTTATGTTTATAATATATTTATAAGATTGGAGGTGTAGCTCTTGGCCTTTACAATATGGACAAGAAATGAGAGTAATTCCTTTAAGAAGCAATGGTCATAAAGACAAGCGGCCAATTGCAAAATCTTTTTGTAGTTATTTTGATGTATTACATTCTTAATGATACAACAATTCTTTGGACCAATAATAAGTAAAGTCTTTTAGACAATTTCTCATATCTTTTGCAAAACCAAAGATATGAGTAGTCCATAAATAGGGAGGTGGAAAACTTTGTACTTGCATTAATACCCAAAGAATTCCATTTTTTTATAAAAGTCTCACAAAATTTAATTTCTATGAGCCTATGATAAATTTTGATAGTCTATAGAGTTATTTTTTGATTACAAAATAACTATATAAGACTATTCAAATACATATGCAAGCGCAAAATAAAAACACACTTTTGACTAAAGAATAATAAGTTGTGTATTATCAAATACTCAGTGCTTACACTAGGGCAAAACTAAAAGTATTTTTCATTAATGATCCTTGTAGTATTAGAAAAGCATTCTTAAAGAACCTTCTATTGAAGCATGTTTGAGCTAATAATTATTGAAAATGTTTTAGAGAGAGAGACAAGAGTAGCTAGAAGTAATATGCACTTACATATAAAAACACACACATATACAAGAATTGACTATATTCATAGGATTATCTCTCTTATACAAAGAGAAAGAAAAAAGATAAACAATTTCTCTCTACTACATTTGAAATACTATAGCTACAATATTTACTTTAGACTGTAGTAAATAGCATGGAGAGCGCCAGCTACATTTAATGCTCTCAACAGTCCTCCTTGCTTGTCATAATATTTATATGCATAGAATTATGATCTATAATTTTTTGTAATCTTGTAAGATCAATAATTGCTACTTCAATAAAATCTTATTTAAGAAAATTTTATTATATGTAAAGACAAAATCATAGATGAAGGAAAAAGAATACAACATTTTTTGAAGAATT